CGGGGGGAGAAGCCAGGCAAGTGAATGCGCTATGGGATCCTCCCGGAGTTGCTGACGGGGAAGCTGGGGGCGCTGGATGGCAACATGGCATGAACCCAATGGCCCTGCAGGCTGATAAGGGGGCCTGGGGAGTTGAGGGGTGACAGCAACAGGGAACACTATGAGCCTAAGACTGCCCCCTGCCCTGCCCCCCAGATCTATCCCTACGAAATGCTGGTGGTGACCAATAAAGGGCGAACCAAGTTGCCTCCAGGTGTGGATCGGATGAGGCTGGAGGTATGCAGGGGAGAGGCGCTGGTGGGTGCAGGGGCTCCATCGGGCAGCCTCCCCTCCTGGTGGGGAGGACCTGCCCCCTTGGTCACTCAGCCCAGCCCGCCCTCCTCTCCCTAAGCGGCCTTGGTCTGTCCTCTGCAGAGGCATCTGTCAGCCGAGGACTTCTCCAGGGTGTTCGCCATGTCTCCCGAAGAGTTTAGCAAGCTGGCTCTGTGGAAGCGGAATGAGCTCAAGAAGAAGGCTTCCCTCTTCTGACCACCCCACACTTCCTGACTCACCCTCACCCCTGCGGCTCTCTGGAGCTGGGTCACTGGACCCTAAAGCATCATCTCTTGCGGGGGGCACAGAGGTGGCAGAGGTGGGGTTGGCTGCATTGCTAGGTCAAGGGGAGCCCGGCCTTCTCTCAGTGCTGGGCTGTGGGACATGGACCTTCTTCCCATAATGAGCCAGGGGCCTCCCCTCCTCCCTCGTCCTCACTGCACAGGGCAAACCCAGGCTGGACCCCAGCACTCAGAGTTAATGTCTGCACCCTCTCCCTGCCCCCACCCCATGAAGAGAGGTCCCAGAAGAGGGAGTGAGGCGACCTGGACATGGCACGTGGTGCAGACCGGTTGATGTCTGGATCAGTGGGCGGGTAGAGCGCTCAGCCTGCGGAGGAGGTGAGGCAGGAAGCAGCAGGCAGGCAGGCACAGCTCCAGGACCCCATCTGCCCAGCACTCCTCCTCGCCTCACTGAGGAGGCTCCCCCTGCACCTGGGCCTCCCGCCTCTGACTCCAGCAGGGAGGCTGCCCTGCCTCCAGATTACCCTCTGACCTTCTTGCACATCCTATGCTTTGAAGCCTCATGCTCAGCTCTGTGGCTTCCCCAGAAGCCTTGGCTTAGAGTGGAGATGTCGCCTATACCAGACGCCAGGCCCCCATCAGCCTCCAGGCACAGTGAGCTAGACTCCTACCTTCTGACACCAGGATCCTAGGCAGGACCAGGCCTTCAGGCTCCCTCGGATGGGAACAAGAGGCCAGGCCACCAGGTCCCACCCATACCCATGCATCCCCCACCATGCTCTCTAAAGAATGTAATTTATTGGGGCACCCCAGCTGCTTTCCTCACCCAAGTCTCTGCCCTACCTAATCACATTCCCAGCTTTTCTTCTCTACAAATACATATGTGTATATAATTATATATATATATTTTTTGCCCAGGTCTGGGTTTTGTTCCTGCCCAGACCCTGGCATCCCTTTCCGCTGTGTGTATGTGTGAGATGATACTGGGGGAGGGGAACTCTGCTTGGAATTAAAAGGTTGCATTGGGTCCCCAAATTTACTTGTTCTTTATGAGCCACCAGGTCCGGGTGAGAGGTGCGGGTGATGCCAGGCTGAGCGAAGTCATGGGAGTGAAGGTTCAAATGGGGGGCATACAGGGTTGGAGGAGGTAGAGCGATGACACACACACTGTCCTTCCCCACCTGGGCCATAAGAGCAGGGGCTGGTCCAGCAGGCTCCCAGCTGCCACCTCCCCTTCGGGGCTGTGTGATGGTGACGGTGGATGGAAAGGCAGAAACATACTCCAGAGCCTGAGAGGAGAGCCAGCAAGGAGGAAAGGCTGCTGCGTCCTCCACCGAAGCCCTAAGTGCTCCCCTGCACCGGCGAGCTCATCGATATCTGACATGACTGCCCCCTCCAGCGTCTGAGATATGACAGTTCAGCGAGAGACCAAACACACAGCAAAGGTCGACAGGAAATGAGTAGGCAGTGAGCTGACTATCAAGGACCAGGCTGAGGACACTAAGGAATGGAGACACGATGGCTGAACTCTAGCAGGAGCAAGGGTAGCGGAGGCCGAGGAGAAGGGTACAGTCCTTTGGTCTTGGTTGACTTGACAAAGCATTCCAGGGGGAGCAGACCGGGAACTGGGCATCGAAGTGGGTGAAGGGGTGAAGGTTTGATTGGAAGCTCAGAGGGAGGACTTTGGTATGGGGACTCGGAGGGGAGGGGCTGCCTCACCTGGCTGGAACAGAGCCCATGCGTGGGCGTGTAAAGCGGCGTTCACTCGATCAGAAGGATCAGGGGAGGTGGAGGGGGACCCAGTGTGAACCTAAGACTGCAGCTGGGACCTGAATCCAGTCTCCCACCCCAGGATGAGTTTCTAGCCCCTTGGGTTGAAACAAAAGCAAAGTGGGTAAGAATCATTCAAATGTGAATGATGATTTTAAGTTGCTGAAGTTCTGTTATGTCCACAACATTGTTTTTTTTTTTAATATATATATTTTATTGATTTTTTTTTACAGAGAGGAAGGGAGAGAGATAGAGAGTTAGAAACATCGATGAGAGAGAAACATTGAGCAGCTGCCTCCTGCACATCTCCCACTGGGGATGTGCCCGCAACCCAGGTACATGCCCTTGACCGGAATCGAACCTGGGACCCTTCAGTCCGCAGGCCGACGCTCTATCCACTGAGCCAAACCGGTCTCGGCCACAACATTGTTTTATCCTCTCAACAAACCCGTGAGGGCAACAGATCATTTTAATCCACTTAGTTTAGGAGAAAATTGTGAAATAGAGACATTTCATCTATGGCCTGAAGCGACATGCAACTGAGTAGAGAATGGAGACAAACGTCTGAGTTTCTTGACTGCTAACCCAGGACTTTCCCAATATAGACACTTGTCCCTCAAGGGGCAGCGGAGAGGCCAGACGAGGAACAGAGAGAGGGATGGTCTCCACACACGCACTTCCGTGAGGCATCAGTGAACGGTGGAGGGCTTACCTGTTCCAGCAGAGGGACAGTGGTGGAGAGGCCAGCGCCGCTGTGTACACCCAGCTCCCAGACTGTGGAGCAACAAAGCAAGCTGAGGCAGTATTTAATCACAGCTCACTGGGAAAGGCTCATGGTGGGGCTGACTGGATAGTGCATCCCAAAGGATTTAAGTTCCTGAGACTCAGAGCAACTTGGCGGCTCTGTCCCTAAAACAAAAGCTTAGGGAGAATCTCTCAGTGCCTCCTCCCCAAAATACACATGGACACACGCATGTACAAACAGATGCAAAACCTTGGTAGTTATTTCACCAGTGGTTTCCAAGCCCTTTTAGTAACAACCCTTAAAAAAAATTAGATCTTACTACTACTATTCAAAGTACATTTATAAGTTGAATTTTATAGTCAACTAGAAGCCCTCAGCTTGTCCTGTGCCCTCTCACAATCCAGGACCCTTGGGGGATGTCGGATAGCTGGTTTCAGCCCGATCCCTGCAGGCCTGATCCAGATAGGAGGGAGCCCTACCCTGTGCATCGAGCGGCTGTCCCCTGGTGGTCAGTGCACGTCATAGTGACCGGCTGACCAGCCATTCGGTTGGCCAGTCAGCAGGTCACTTAGGCTTTTATATATACAGATTACTATGAAAATCAATGAGAACGAAGAAGCTATGATCAATAAAAAGTAATTTTGAGGAAGAGCTGGTATTTTGTGGAAGAGTCACCCTCAAGGGGCCAAAGAGCCGCATGTGGCTCTCAAGCCACGGTTTTCCGAGCCGCAGTTTGCCAACCACTGCCCTAGCCGGTTTGGCTCCATGGATATAGCGTCAGCCTAGGGACTGAAGGGTCCTGGGTTTGATTCTGGTCAAGGGCACATACCAGTCAGCCCGACCACAAGCATTTCCCAGTGAGCTGTGATTAAATACTGCCTCAGCTTGCTTTGTTGCTCAATTCCCAGTGTGAGGCATGCAGGAGGCAACCAACTGATGATTCCGATTGAGCGTCAACCTATGAACCAGGAGGTCATGGTTTGATTTCTGGCCAGGGTACATGCCTGGGTTGCAGGCACAATCCCCAGGAGGGGGCATGCAGGAGTCAGCCAATCAGTGATTCTCTGTCAACACTGATGTTTCTATCTCTCTCTCCCTCTCACTTCTTCTCTGAAATCAATAAAAATACATTTTTTTAAAGTAAGTTTTGATGAACAGAAGAAATTTAGGTCAGGGGTTATATATGACAGTTCCCCTTTTGTCAAGTGGAGGATCTAATTTATTATTGCATTTGGTTGCACAGTATCAGGAAAAGTCCTGATCCACATAGGTAAGAAGTTACAAAGTTGTGGTAGTTTAAAAGCATGCCAAT